GCGGTAATGACGGGTGAGCGATTTTATTAGTTAACTAAAGTCGTGCCCCACGAGAATAAGGTAAAGTCGCAGCAAATTCCATGTTCCATTTCTTTCATTTTGGGAACAATTGCACAACTTGTCCCTAATGTATTTGTCTCATTTCCAAGTTAGTCTAAAACCTTTCGAAACGTATGAGTTGATTCTTGAAATTTTGAAATAGTTATAAAATCAATTTCTAGGAAGCGTTCAATCTTTATTAAGCCCCTGTAATCAATAATTAAGTTCAACCAAATATTTTTATGGGATCACAATTTTTTAACTACACATTTTATTAATTTTTATTTATCGGAGATGCAGAATTTACCAAATTGAGAGCTGCAAGGACACGAAACTACGACTTGCGAAATCTGCAAAATTGAAAGACACAACAACAACAGTAAATTATTTATTTATCAGTTTGGTGTTTCTCTTTTTTGGTGTTGTTGCTGGAAATTATGTGCGGTAAAATTGTTATCGTCCTCTTTTTATCCAAATTCTTCATAAACATTTGATGGCTGGTATGTAGCTTTTTTATGTATCTGGCAATTGCTTTTCATTGTGTCGTCTTGGTATTCATTGAATGGTCTCAATGAATGGATAGATGCAGCATTAACTTATTCGATTATTTCACTGCTATGTACTAGAATTTTGCAATTGACGGCTCTATTTCACTGATGTTGTTCAATTGTAATTGGCTTTAGTTCACTTTGATGCTTCGTTGACGACTTCTTTTGTTCATCTCTATATTAATTTCAGCTTTAGTGGACTGACGTTGAATTATTCTAGGAATTAATGCTGAATTGAAGCATTGGCCATCTTCTTTTTTCTTGGTTTCAGCCTCTAGTTCAGGGGCGGAATGAAGGGGGGGATGTATTGGGCTACAGCCCAATGCAGCTCTGGCCCAAATACAAATTATATGTGTAAATTTTGTGGGGAAAAAAGTATAGCTCGACCTAAAGAAAAAATTAGCCCACTTAGTTGGATGAATTTTAGTCCAATTTTTAAAATTAGCCGGCCCACACACAATTTAACTCTAATCTCAAACCCATTTGCCATAATGCCAGCAGCCATTCCATTCAAAAGTCCAACGTAACCCACTAACCCAGTAACCCAAATCTCCTCTTTTAGAATCTGAAACGTCATACTGGACTACCTCTTTAAAAATCTCAAATCTCCATTCTTATGTTTCTCGTTGATTCTAAAAACACCGAACTGCACAAGCCTGATTAAAGCCTCTGCTACTGCAAGCCACATTCCATCCAGAAAGAAAATGGTACTGGTCATGGTGGCAATTGGCAACCACGTTTGAGACTTTGAGGTATTGTCATTTTCGATTCATCACTTTATCTCCGATTTTTCGCCGAAATTTTGAGGTATTGCTGTAATCTATATTGTCATTTTATGCACATTTGTAGGAAATTATAAAATTGAATTTCTATCAATAAAATAAAAACAAGAAACAATAGGAACATTTTTAGATTTTTCCAAATTAGTGTCACCGAAATCCGAATGGAAATGTGTATAAAATGCAATACGTTTTGACGCTTTGCGACACTCTTCATTGACTAATTTCTGCAACAGAAGTATTTAAAAGGGAAACTGAAAGGAAGCCTTAAAAGATAACTGTCAAAAGATATACACAAGCGACAACGCGTCACTGTGAAATACAGATTCATTTGCAAAGTAATGACATAAAATTCTGAAGTTATGCGTGTAAGAAAGAGTGGTCGTACCTTTGTTGAAAGTGAGCAAGAACTGACAACTACAACGTCAAACTTTTCAAAGAAATCAACACTGAAGCTTGACAAATCACCTGCAACAATAATTTACTCTTCTCAGCATTTCAACATTAGTTCGTATCAGACATTTAGAATCAACATAAATCACAATTCAAATGGATGACAACGGTTAGACAAGATAAACATATAGCACTACTCACTCCAATATCCATTAAGTACTCATGTTGTGGACTAAACACCCAAGATGGATCATTGAATGTAACTGGGGGCCCATTTAAGAGTGATTCTCTTATTGGACATCAAGAACTAGTGAAACCAAAGAAGATCCACTCATCTAGTCTGTAGCCCCTGGCATTAATTATACAGGCTGGCGTGGTGCTCGAATATATCCAATTGCTAAACTCTTACTCAAGTAACCAATTAGCCCCTGTTTGAGCCCTACTTTTTAAAACTCATTTTCCCCAAACTCATTTTCAACTTCATATTCTCTCAATAAAATAATTTTGCCATAAACTCAAAACTTTTCCCCCACTTTTTAATCGCACATGCTCCAAAAAAAGTCACTTTTTACAAAATCTAATCTAAAAAAGGGGACTGAAATGGAGGCTTAATGAAACTTGGACAGAGAACTGTTACTTAGTAAGATAAGCCAACCATTCTGAAAGGGCATGCAAAAAATTTTTTGGCCTATGTTTCAATCTCTTTTCACTCATAAGTCAGCTAATAGCTAAATTCAAATACAAGACAGCAGATAACTTAGATCAGCAGCCAACCTTTCTGCACAGAAACACGAACCATAGGATTGAAATCTTTCAAAGAATCACAACATAGCTCGGCAAGAGATTTCCCAGCATACACATTCTCATCATGAGGAATCAAAAAATTAGCCGCCAACAAATCCTCAGTCACTACACGATCATCGATCAACGTCACACTACCTACTCCTGCTAGCACAATATTCTTGCAAAACTGAAACAACATAAAAACGATAATTTTATATATCCACTAGCTATATATAATCATTTCCCAACCTTAACAAATACCCATACATATACCTTGAGCAACGTCCATAAAGACATACAAACTATTATCAAGGAAACCATTATCGGGGTAAAATTGAAAGTCAAGCAGGCCCCTTGGCATACTTTTCATCGAACATCACAGACAAAGTAGAAGTCGATAAAGCTCGAATGACCATGCTACAGCCCACCCTCCAACCCTGAATACTTTTCCCATGCTCAACTCGCTGGAAAAATTCAATTTTGTGTCTTACCTCCCATAAGCCCTAAGCAGACCCACCCTGACTGAGCCTACCTGGTACTGGACAATGAGTCACGTATATAACCCTATCCAGTATGGTCCAGTGTAGAACGAACTTTTTATCATGGAATCGACTTGATCATCTCATACCCCGAGCCGGAACCAAAGTAAATGCACACGGAATAAAATAATAATATATACTAAAAGATACCTCAATAACAGTGCCTTTGAGTCCACTGATAAGTACATGGGACTTGCTCAGCCTGAAAAAATAACCAAATAATCAAATATAATACTGATTCATTCCTATTACCAATTTCCACAAACAAGCGCATTATAAATTAGTACCTTCGTTGAGCATCGGCACCCCATACACGAATTTGGCGATCATAAAGGGCGGTTTCGTGCTCCGTCAATTCCTCTCCGTCCATTCCTAATTCCGACGTTAATCCGTCGCCGTCGATCCTCTTAGAGAGATCAGAGAAAGCGCTGAGAAAACCTAAGTCAAAGATGAAAGGCGTCCAAACGGAAACGAAGCTCGGAGCGCGGTAATGACGGGTGAGCGATTTTATTAGTTAACTAAAGTCGTGCCCCACGAGAATAAGGTAAAGTCGCAGCAAATTCCATGCTCCATTTCTTTCATTTTGGGAACAATTGCACAACTTGTCCCTAATGTATTTGTCTCATTTCCAAGTTAGTCTAAAACCTTTCGAAACGTATGAGTTGATTCTTGAAATTTTGAAATAGTTATAAAATCAATTTCTAGGAAGTGTTCAATCTTTATTAAGCCCCTGTTATCAATAATTAAGTTTAACCAAATATTTTTATGGGATCACAATTTTTTAACTACACATTTTATTAATTTTTATTTATCGGAGATGCAGAATTTACCAAATTGAGAGCTGCAAGGACACGAAACTACGACTTGCGAAATCTGCAAAATTGAAAGACACAACAACAACAGTAAATTATTTATTTATCAGTTTGGTGTTTCTCTTTTTTGGTGTTGTTGCTGGAAATTATGTGCGGTAAAATTGTTATCGTCCTCTTTTTATCCAAATTCTTCATAAACATTTGATGGCTGGTATGTAGCTTTTTTATGTATCTGGCAATTGCTTTTCATTGTGTCGTCTTGGTATTCATTGAATGGTCTCAATGAATGGATAGATGCAGCATTAACTTATTCGATTATTTCACTGCTATGTACTAGAATTTTGCAATTGACGGCTCTATTTCACTGATGTTGTTCAATTGTAATTGGCTTTAGTTCACTTTGATGCTTCGTTGACGACTTCTTTTGTTCATCTCTGTATTAATTTCAGCTTTAGTGGACTGACGTTGAATTATTCTAGGAATTAATGCTGAATTGAAGCATTGGCCATCTTCTTTTTTCTTGGTTTCAGCCTCTAGTTCAGGGGCGGAATGAAGGGGGAGCTGTATTGGGCTACAGCCCAATGCAGCTCTGGCCCAAATACAAATTATATGTGTAAATTTTGTGGGGAAAAAAGTATAGCTCGGCCTAAAGAAAAAATTAGCCCACTTAGTTGGATGAATTTTAGTCCAATTTTTAAAATTAGCCGGCCCACACACAATTTAACTCTAATCTCAAACCCATTTGCCATAATGCCAGCAGCCATTCCATTCAAAAGTCCAACGTAACCCACTAACCCAGTAACCCAAATCTCCTCTTTTAGAATCTGAAACGTCATACTGGACTACCTCTTTAAAAATCTCAAATCTCCATTCTTATGTTTCTCGTTGATTCTAAAAACACCGAACTGCACAAGCTTGATTAAAGCCTCTGCTACTGCAAGCCACATTCCATCCAGAAAGAAAATGGTACTGGTCATGGTGGCAATTGGCAACCACGTTTGAGACTTTGAGGTATTGTCATTTTCGATTCATCACTTTATCTCCGATTTTTTGCCGAAATTTTGAGGTATTGCTGTAATCTGTATTGTCATTTTATGCACATTTGTAGGAAATTATAAAATTGAATTTCTATCAATAAAATAAAAACAAGAAACAATAGGAACATTTTCAGATTTTTCCAAATTAGTGTCACCGAAATCCGAATGGAAATGGATACAGAATACTAGAATTTGTGTTTGTTGCAACTTGTATTGATGAGAAAGTGATTGTCTCAATGATGTATTTATTCCATTTGGTGCCAGCTCTATATATTTTTTTGGCTAATGTTTTTCAAATTTTGGTTCAATGGTTAATAATTAATTGGTTATAATTCAATAGTTTATTAGTTTCAATATTGACACTTTCATTATTTGCTTATTTTACAATTTCGAAGTAATCTTTTATTAGAATTTGTTGTCTATGATTAAAGGTTGTTGCTTTAAGGATAATTTAAGTGTTCT